TTTTTGTATATATGGACCAAGCGGTTTAGATGTTAATAACCAGCATTTCATTTTTATTGGCGTTATTATTGGAGTGAACAAATTCTTAGTCCTATTGGGTGCTCTGCAGAAAGCCAGTTGTTAAAAGTTTAACAGCTTCTAAATTTGTTTTCTACAGTTGCATTGTTCACTGGGAAACTGGACTTGTGTTTTTGTTGCTCAGAAGAAAGGTGGGCAATGAAAGGGCTCAAAGAAGCTACCAACCACATCAGGACTTTGGGTTCTAAGTCCAGGCTGATATTCCAATGAGACTTTAAAATGAAGTCCCATCTGCCTTTTCAGGTGGACGTTTAAAGATCCAATTGTACTATGTCCTGGTGTCTTGGCCAACAATTCCCCTACATTTTACACAAAAAAATGATTTTTTTTCATGGTCATTTGTAGGTTATTCATGGTCGTTTGCAGGACATTACTGTGCACACATTGCCTGCTGTGTTCACCGACGTATACATAGTCACTACACTTTACAGAAAAACTCTGCGAAATGCTTTGTGGCACTTCAATGTGATCAGACACTATTAAATGCAAGGATTTCTAAATCGTAAGCAAACTACACCCAGTCTTCCCTATAAAAAAAAGGCATGCAACCTTTCCTGATTACATAAAAAAGTAAAAGCTGCAGCATTTGAAATGTAGGTTAAAACTGTCCTAGAGACATCTTATTCAAATGTAGGTTTTAAATATCTGCGTCTGTTGTTGGAGTTACTTGCCTCCAGTTTGATGTCCTTTCAAGACTCCCTCCTCTGTTCGAAAACTGGAAGGCATCAGCTGATATTGCGTCAGGCACAGAGTGGCAAGAATAGAAATCAAAGGTTTAAAAAGAATATTCACCCAAGACATATAACTTTACATTTTAAAAAAAAACCTTAGAACTGCTTGTGGATAACATTACGTTCGGAGTTGACATCTAATTATTTTATACGTTAAAAATAACTGAATACAATTTTTTCCCCATATAATGATGTCAAATTGGTGGATTTTTTAAGTAGCCCCTCTGTTTCTTTTGTAGCTGCCTGCGTGCTCATTTCAAAATGCAAGCAGCTGGTGTCTATTCTTAATGATAGGATCTGAAAATGAGTGGTGTTTATGTTAACCCCCTTTTTTCACAAATGTTTGGCATTTGGCTGCAGATGTCACTACAGTAGTCAAATAATCGTCATAGGAAAAGTCCTATGTATTTGAGAATACTTCTGGGATATATTGTTGTCTTACTATAGGTAAAACAACATTGACATAGAATTAATTCGTTACCTACCAGGGTTTTCATAGTTTGAGGTTTTATAAATTCACGATGCAGTTACGATTCTGAGTTGGAACACCTCTTTAGATTTCTTTCAGGAAGTGCATCCCAGAGTCCCTCCAACGTGCTCGCTCCCTTCCCTCATTGAAGGCACGCCTCAGAACTTACCTCTTTGACATTGCTTTCAGTCACCTTTCCCTGACTCAGTACCAACTTCCAGCTCAGGTCCCCATGCAGGATTGTCAAGCTCTTTAGCGCGTCCTCCCGATGTGAAAGACACTATATCAATTGTATTGTATGGATATTCAAGTGTATTCCTGGGGACAAACTCTGCACCTTTTAAAATGAGAAAGATTAGCCAAAGATTACTTTTTTATTTGACTTGATATAATGTCGCTTAAGACGTTTGCGTGACCTTGAGCTGCCCGTCCAATATTAGGGTCTAAATAGTCAGAGTTGTTACATGAAAGTCACTTGGAGCCTTACTGTGTGGGGACCATATCATACGTATGGTTGGGACTCAACGGCTGATAAGACGTGAGATGAGGGATTTGCCAGGACCCAAAGGAAAATAATAATCTGGCAGCTATGTTTCTGAGCTAAGAACTATAAGTCAACTAAGAACTATAAATCAACAGCTTTGTTGCAAGTGGACTTCAGCTTTTATTTATAATATGTAATCAGATCTTTTACTGACGTATGAGTGTCCCACTAACTTTACGTTTCAAGAGTAGCAGATTTGGAGTAAAGCAGGAAAAAGTAATGGGTTACTTGATAAGGTGCAGTCACTAAATATTGTTCAAATTCCTGACAATAGGTGGTAAAAGAAAAGGTCCGGGTTTAGCCGTTTCTCTTGCAAGCTTGTATCTACACTGGAGGTCAGAGGATGGTGCTAGAGGACTTGAAACTCATGGTAAAAGATAAAATGTGCAACAATGTTAGTCCTCCCTCCTATGGTGCACTTCCAGTGTGTGGTGAATGATAATTGAGCCATGCTTTCCATGTTAGTGTGCGATTTTCTAGAACTCTGAGTCCAAGGTCCACAGGAATTGGTTGGGGATCTATGCTCAGGATGCATTTGGCAAGAACCTAAGGCACCATGGCTCGCTGCCACCAGCCAGCATTTGGGCTGTGCACAAAGAAACATTATTTATAAAGCATTTCAATAATGAAATGGTTTGACAATTTTTTTTAAATTAACTCTTTCAGAACCGCATTGGCATTTCTAAGCTGAAATTAGAAGACGCCAAGCACCCTTGAATTAGGAAACGTTACAGAATTCTGCAAACCTCCCATTCTGCCTTTTTTTAATAAAAGAAAATCAGCACTTTTTTTTTGCGAGAGATGAAAGAGCTTTGGTGTTGAAATGCAGAATTGACAAGGCACCAGGGTTGATCTTGAGATTTGCAAAGTATCTGGATTCGAGTTTTGAAGGATAATGAAAGATTAATTTCTGCCAATGGATCAGGTCAAACCAGTTCCTGACTGGTGAACGCAATGTTATTGTTGAAGTGGCAATTCACAGAGAGATCATAAAAAAGACTTGCAGGAAAGTGGAATATTTTAAGCCATAGCAATGGGGAGGGGAGAGGAGGGAAGAAGAGAAGGAGCTTTTGCTTTTTATGTACCTGACCTTGGGTGCGCACACTGGCTAGTAAAAAATTTAAGAAGTGTTTTAATAATCTTTATGAGCAAAAAAAAGTTACCGGCATTCACAAAAGGACATTTAAAAATGTCTTCATTAAATTATACTGTGAACAAAATTATAAATTTTTATATTTAATTTCAAATGGAGCAATAAAATATGTCCCATATGAAGCAAGATATCAGAATGTTATTTCCTAGAACCAAGAAATAAATGCTTAAAAGTGCTGTTTAATGACCTTGGAAATCTAGAACTTGTCCAAAAATCACAGTGTTTATATCGTGTAGATTAGTTGGGTTAGCATTGGAATTGGGACAAGAGTTTCTGGGTTTCAATCCTAGTGGCTCTGCTAAGCCCCTCACACTTTCAAGTTTTTGATGTGAGCAGGGTTTCCCTGGGGTAGACAGGCTCTACAGAGATGTGCCTGGCAAGTGAAATGCATTTTGAAATATTTATCACTCTAATTCCTGTTCATTTCCATTTTCAGTACTCCTTGCACTGATTGATAAGTGTTTCCTCCTCTAAGGACACATTGTTATATTCTCAGGTAGCTTTTCTTCATTGGCGCAAGAAGTTTCTGAGTTGCAATCCTGAGTTGGGTCACTTGGTTCAAGTTTGGAAAGATATGTAGCATAACCCCCTTGGGGAGGGATACGCAGAGATTCCCTGAGGCTGAAATCCCTAAGAGTTCTGGGACTCCACCCTGCATAACATGACATGACATGACATGACATAACATAACATAACATAACATAACATAACATAACATAACATAACATAACATGTAGGAGTGGCAGTAGGCCATTCAGCCCTTCGAGCCTGTCCCGCCATTCAATCATGGCTGATCTTCTAATCTAACTCCAGCTACTAACCTGACCCTGCCTTATCCCCATATCCCTTAATCCCTTTTGCAATAAGAAATCTATCTATCTCAGTCTTGAATATGTTCAAGGCATGAGGGGTGCTATATGAATGCAAGTTGTTGTTGTTGTTGAATTCATTCTGAGGAGACATGTCTGACAGACTCAAGCAGGTCTTCATCCAAGAGGGGTTGAACAGTCTCTCTTTCTCATGTAAGAGACTTGACTTTGACAATGTGAGCCAAATGCTGCAATGGGTAAGGGGGGCTGGCCTTGCTGAACAAGTCCTGTGAAACTTATCATTACCGTGTACCTCAGGCACCTCAGGCACTGGCAGCATTAGCATCCATAGATGCATACTCCACCTCACCAAGCCAGTCAGGAACCTAGGTGTCTTGTTCGATCCTCAATTGTCCTTTCTCCCCCAATCTGTGCCATGACCCGCTCTCCCTCCCCCCATCTCCGCAACATTGCCCGACTCCATCACTACCTCACCCCTCAGGCTGCAGAAACCCTCACACATGCCTTCATTACAACCAGGCTCGACTATTCAAATGCCCTGCTTGTCGGCCTTCCCAATTCTTTCCTCCACAAGCTGCAGATCATACAGGACTCTGCAGCTTGTGTCCTCTCCCGCACCAGGCTCCGTGACCCCATCACCCCCACCCTCGCCCGGCTCCACTGGCTCCCCATCCCTCGGAGAATCGAGTTCAAAATTCTCATCCTCACTTTCAAGGCCATCCAATGCCTTGCCCCCTCCTACCTCTCTGACCAGCTAACCCCTTATCAACCTGTCCACTCCGTCCGCTCAACAGGCTCCGGCCTGCTCCATGTCCCCTGGCCAACTGGCCCCACCCTTGGTCAGGCCTTCAGCCTCTCTGCCCTCACCCTCTGGAACTCCATCCCACATTTCCTTCACCTCGCTCCCTTTCTTGCTTCCTTCAAGGTAAGCCTCAAGCCCCTCCTCTTTGACCGTGTCTTTGGCCACCCTCCTACCCTCTCTGCCTTCCACCCTCCCTCATCCCAACCCCCAAACTCCACCTCCGCTCCAGTCCTAATCCCTGACTGTTCAGCGCCTTGGGACGCCCTCATGACATGAAAGATGCTTTACAAATGTAATTTTGTATTGTATTGTATGGTTTAATGTAATAATGAGACTATGTAGTTCTGAGATTTGGTGATGTTTTATCCTTTTTTATTCTCCTCCAACGTACAGAAAATGTCCCATAAACCAGAGAGTGTGGAACTGCATGGTGCTCAGATTGAATGGGCCAAAGACAAATCCAGCAGAAAGAACGTGCTTCAGGTAGGAAATGGTTTTGTTAGTATGAATAATGTTACTCAAGGCTGTCAGTCGCCTCAACCCATTGTTTGGAGTCTTGTGAGGACACAAGATCTTTGACACCAAAATCTGAATGAAGAAGATCTTGATCTTTGAAGAACATGCAGAGTAGCACAACACTATGCATCTTCCAGTGTAATACTAGTCTAATATGCAACAATTTCTAATAGGGTTTCTTAATGAGGGAACTGGAACCATATTTTTCCATACTGGAACACCAACCCTCTAGACTCTATGACGCCAACATGATTTATGTGATATGCCCAAAGGAGTCGCCACTTCATTCCTGCTTAAGAAATCCTATTAGAAATGGATGCATTTTTGATCCCATTGTAACGTGTTCTATTATGCTTCAATTTCTTTTAAATCTACCTTTGGAAGATCACCGACAATATCCTTATACAGTTTCATGAGCTCTGGAAACTCAGGATTGTTATTATTGAAACATTTCATATGGTGTCGTCTCATGTTGTTGACGACTCAAGCATCTCACAAGATTTATTGTAAAATGTAATAACTGTGAATATCGTAATGGAAAGCAGCAACTAATTTGCACTCAGCAATGTCCAGCGTGGATGCGCTATATAAATCCAAGTTGTTGTTGTTGTTGTTGTCCCATAAACAGCCATTAGGTAAATGATCAATTGATTTGGGGGATTGTTGGCCATGATACTTGGAGAAAGTTCCTTTTCTTTTCGAATTGTGCCATGGGATCTTTAACATCCACTTGAACAGGTTGGTTTAATGTCTCATCTGAAGGACAGCACCTTCAACACCTGGTCATTAAGTTCAAAGTCTTGATGCAAGACTTGAACTCATACCCTTCTGATCCAGAGATGAGAGCACTACGTCAAGCTGACACCAAGCCTTGAATTTGAAGTGTTTAATAAAAAAAAGTGCAATGTTTACACAAAATCTTGTTCAAATGTTGGTGACCACTATGTTTGTTTTCATAACTTTGTATGGACAAGTACATGCATATCCCAAGATTCTATCCAATGATTAGCAAACTCGACTGACTGGGAGAAGTTTACTTTGCAGTGTTATGGATTGCATCAGCTTTACTCATAACAGGACAATATTTTCTCAAATAACATTGGTTTACGAGCTAACTGATGTGCTTGAAACGTTTTCAATGTGCTCTAATGCTTCGTATTTGGTCCGAAACTTGAGGCGATGAGGATTGGAAAGGATTACGCTGTAAAACTAAATAATCCGAAGTGTCATCAACATAACAGCGTATGTAATGACTAAATAAAATCATCCTGAAGGTGGACAATAATGTCAATCAACAGCAGGGGGTTAAGTGCTTAAGAAAAGTGCCACAGACTGTCATTCATTTATCAAGCATCATTGTGTGATCTGCTCAGGCAAAGGTTTCACCATAAATCAATTGCTATTTTGCCTCTTCCGATGATTGCATCGAGGTGATTGCAGGTTTAAATATGCAAAATGGACTTTTGAGAGAGGTGATTTAACATTTATATGTTTTCTCTAATGGATTTTGAGTTTGCAAAATTGTCATGCTGCTTACCGTACAGTAATTTCAAATATATATTTCTGTATTTATTTAAAAATTACATGTGTGTTTTAAAAAATTACTGCAACAAATAGCTTACAACAATAATAATAATAATCCTTGCATTTGATATAGAGCCTTATCACGTTGTTGAGAGTCTCAAAGTGCTTCACAGATTATATTGTAAAGTGAATTGACTATGTATTTTGTGGGCGAAATGCAAAAATATTTTTTTTACAACAAATTATCTCTTCAATTACTATTCCCAGTTATGCCTTTACACCTTCACACAATCTCCTGCAGGTGTGAGGATGGATGACAAAATCACAAGGTCCTCCTAATCTTTCAACAACATTGCTCTCCCTTTTCTCTGACTTTGTGCTTGAAGAGATACAATTCAGACAAAGGTGTCCTTTTATTTTCCTGGAGCAAGGCCATCCATATTTTGGGGTCAATTGATCAAGCCTGCGCTGTACTGAATATCAGATAAGTGTCACGCGAGGAACCTATCATCAGAGTTGAAGGAGGAGGCAAACTGCTCACAAGGTTGTATTTTTAATGATAGCAAATTGGCATTTGGTACAGTGGCGAAATCTCACTTTCATTGTACGACAACAAGGGAGAGATATTTGGGGTTTAGTTCGCAGGGTGTGCCAACCATGTGTAAGAGGACAGAGGAAACTATTTTTTGTCACTGAATCCACGACTGTTTGTGGGACACTACTGAGCGCAATTGGCTGCAGTGTTTCACCCACAAAATATACAGTGAATCCACTTTACAGTATATTTAGAGTATATTTACAGTATACACTTGGAATTGAAAGGATTCGTTTGGAATGGAAAGGATTAGTTGCGGTACAGATCAGCTTTGATCTAAATAAATAGCAGAACAGGCTCGAAGGGCTGTACGGCCTCCTCCTGTTCCTGTGTTTTTATTTTCCTATATTCTTTGAAGTGTTTTGAGATGTTAGGACGACTTGATAAGGCGCTATATCAAATGCAAGGATTATTATTATTATGTTCTTAGTTATATTATTAGCACCCAATTCGTCTGTGATCCTTTTCATTGGTTGGGCACTTAATTAAGGACCCCGTACACATGACTTTATACATGGTTTGTACAACTGACAAACTAGATCTCAGTATCACCATGACATTGTAACGTCAGAAGTTGTAATTCCAAAGATAATGCATAACATATGGCAAAGCATTTACCACTTTTCACAATCAATTTATTTCATTGGGATGAACCTCAGTTGATGTGATGAAAGAATCATGTTCTACCCTCAGACTGGTTAGACTGGACTATGCAGATTCTTTTCTATCAGTTTTGACCTTTTCAGTTGTCACGCTTTGATAGTGACAAAAATACTGGTGTTTTTTGTCAATATCGATATTTTACTGTATGAAAAATACAGTAATAAAGTCATTCCAATGCCAGAAATCTGCCCACAAACACACAGTTACTACACGTCACTGAAGTTCTGTGAATGCTTTGAGATGGTTTGATAAGTAGCTATATGTCAAATGTAAGGAGTATTATATAAGAATGAGAATCTTTAGCTGCAACTTTGCACTAGTTGCTATTTAATTTGTGACTCTCTCAAAATGACTATATTTGTTTTTCAATAACTGACAAGGTGCAAAAAAAAACCAGAAGGCCAAATGTAATTAATAATAATAATGATCCTTGCATTTTATAGAGTGCTTTTCACGTCAATTTTCCAGCTCAGGCTTCAGCTATCTATAATAATAATAATTTTTGCATTGGTATAGCGCCTTATCACATCTTCGAAACAACAACAACAACAAAATTACCTTTATAGCGTGCCTTTCACGTCAGGAGGACATCCCGAATCGTCTCAAAGCGCTTCACAGAATATACTGTAAAGTGAATTGACTGTATATTTGTGGGCGAAACGCGGCAGCCAATTGCGCAGAGCAGTGTCCCACGAACAGTCGTGGATTAAAAATGACCAATTTATTATTGTTTTGTTTTGGAGGGATTATTATCAGGCGTGTGGAGTAAGGAAACTTGCCCAAGGTTTCGCCCTGTCTGGAATTGAACCCAGGTGTCTCGCTTGCAAGGCGAGTGCTCTAACCACTGAGATGCAGGATTCCACATATAAAGATAAAATGTCTCAAAAACTTTACTATGCTTTTTCTTTTTACCAATTGTTCCTGTTAATGACTTCCTCTTTATCATAACTTTTATCCAACTTTGAACTTGTATTTTTTATATTTTTTTGCTTTTTTTTTGGAAAATGGAACCAAATTTTTTCTAAATGGTTTTAAGAATAATATTTCAAACTTATGGAAACTAAAACCTGCTTTACCGGCCTTTGCTATTGTATTGTTTAGACTTATCATGTCTTCAAGACGTCTCAAAATGATTCACAAAATAAACTGGAAGTGAATTGACTGTATATTTTGTGCGCAAAATGCAGCAACCAATTGTGCACAGCAGTGTCTCACAGTCGTGGATTGAAGTGACCAATTTATTCTTATTATATTTTTAAGGAAAACTCCAGTAATGCCAGGCCATGCTGCCATGCTGAACTTTGTAGCATTAGAAGCTAAAGTCAGTCATGTCTTCACCTGTGCTACAATTGTGGTCAGTGGTACCTTGGTGTGACAACTCACTGACTGAAGCGTACAACAACCAGTTGAGCGCTGTCATCCCATATTTAGCAGAAAGTGGCTATTACATTTTCCAATTGTTTCAGTGGTTGGTGCATTCTATAAAATAACCAATACACTGGAGGTTGTAATTGAGCCTTGGGGTTTCACAACATTCACAAACCTCTCTTAAGCTTCTCTCTTTACTTTCTTAATCTATTGAACTGCTCAGTTGAATCATAGCTTTCTAACTCACTCCATATATTAATCCATATACAATTGGCAGCAATGTAGTGTTTAAGCCATTAATCTGTTTTCTTTTTGTTAAACTTATTTCAAGGGTAATGTGTTTCTTTCTAAGCATACAGAGGTTACCCGCGTCAGGTTTGGTATTTTCTTTAACATTAATTACTCTGCGGCTCTGTTTCTCTACCCCCATTTCTCTTTCACCAGGAAAATTTGTTCATCCATTAGCAGTTGAATCCACTGGAAGATGTATTTAGAATAACATAAGGGCAGCCAAATCAGACAAGTTAGGAATGAGAAGTGGGAGACTGATTTGACTGGGTTAGGAGTTAAAGGTGAAGACAGATTTCAAGTAGTTTTGTCTGAGACATTTTAGCCCTACTTTTAAGATTAGACAGAAAGTTATTGGAGCGAGTTAATCACTCATCCTAAATCTAGCCACAACAGAAATACCTTGAGCAACATCAAACATAATATGTAGCTTAAAGCATTTTTGCCTTTTACAAGGTCAAAACAGCACTCTCTGACAGATTAACAACCGTCTTTCTGTTTCCTTCCTTACCTTTTGCTTGGACTTGCA